AAAATATCCAGCATCCAAATAGTAAAATTCATGTCTAGCATCCACTCAAAAATTACCAGACATGACTTCCCTGGTGGCGCAGTGGTTAAGAATCTGCCTGACAATGCAGGGGACGTGGGCTTGATCCCTGGTCTGGGAAGATCCCACAAGCCATGGAGCAACTAAGCCCGTGTGCCACAACTACTGAGCCTGCACTCTAAAGCCCACAAGCCACAACTACTGAGCCTGTGTGCCGCAACTACTGAAGCCTGTGCGCCTAGAGCCCATGCTCCACAACAAGAGAAGCCACCGCAATGAGAAGCCCGTGCACCGCAACGAAGAGTAGCCCCCACTCACCGCAACTAGAGAAAGTCTGCATGCAGCAACAAAGGCCCAACGCAGCCAGAAATAAATAAATAAATAAATAAAATGTTAAAAAAAACTTATGTTCATACAAAAATTTGTACATTAATATTAATAACAGCATTCCTAATAGCCAAGTGGTAGAAACAATCCAAATGTCCACCAACTGAACAGATAAAGAAAATGTGGTATATCAATACAATGGAATATTATTTGGCAATAAAAAGGAGTCAAGTACTGATACATGCAACAACATGGATAAACCTTAAAAACATTATGCTAAGTGAAAGAAAGTGGTCACAAAAGACCATACAGTTTATGATTCCATTTATATGATTTGCCAGAATAGGCAAATCTATAGACATAAAGTAAATTAGTGGTTGCCTAAGGCTGGGGGTAAGTGAATGTGGGAAATGGGAAGTGACCACTGGTAGGTATGGAGTTTCTTTTTGGGTTGATGAAAATGTTCTAAACCTAGATTGTGATTGTTGCACAACTCTGAATTTACTAAAAATCACTGAACTATATACTCTAATGAGTGAAGCTTATGGTATGTGAATTTTCTTCCAGTAAATATGCTAATCTCATTTTTAATAGCACCCCAAATCATGAAATACGTAGGGGTAAACTTTACAAAGTACGTAGGGGACCAGGACCCTGAAAATTACAAAACGTTCCTGGGAAAAGCTAAAGATGTAAACAAATGGAGAAATATATCATGTTCAATTATCGATGACTCAAAATTGTCAAGATGGCAATTCCTCCCAAAGTAATCTATAGATTCAATACAATCTCAATCAAAATCCCATCAGACTGATTTTTAAAGAAAGCTGATTCTGAAACTTATATGGAAATGCTAAGGACCTAGACTTGTCAACCCAATTTTGGAAAAGAATAACAAAATTGGAGGACTCACACGATCTCATTTTAAGACTTATTATAAAAGCACAATAATCAAATTAGTCTGGTATGGAATGAGGGTAAACATAAATCAATGAAACAGAATAGTGTATAGACATATATGCATACACATATGGTCAACCAATTTTTGGCAAATGCCAAGGTAATTGTATCAGTGAAAGAGCAGTCTTTTCAAAGAATGGTACTGGAGCACTGGATATCAATTTGGAAAAAAATGTCCTTCTATCCTCACTTCATACCATACAAGAAACTTATCTTGAAACGGATCATAGACTTAAATATAAGAGCTAAAACAACAGCATTTCTAGAAGAAAACATAAAAGGAAACCTTTGTGACCTTAGTTTAAGCAATGATTTCTTCGGACACCAAAAGGATGAACCATAAGAGAAAAAAATGTTAAGTTGAACTTTATCAAAATTAAAAACTTGTGCTCTTCGAAAAACATTATTACAAAAATGAAAAGGCAAGCCACACATTAGGAGAAAATATTTGTAATAAAGGACTTATATCCAAAATATATTAAAAAAACTCCTACAAGTCAATAAGAATAACTCAATTATTTAAAAATGGGCAAAACATCTAAACAGGTATTTTGCAGAAGAAGATATACAAAAGACCAAAACCCAAATAAGAAGACAGTTAATATCACCAACCCTCAAGGAAAAATAAAAACCACAATGAGGTGCCACTGTATGTGTATTAGATTGGCTAAAATTAAGAAGACTGACAATGCCAAGTGTTGGTGAGGATGTGGACCAACTGGAATTCTCATAGATTGCTGGTAGAAATGCAGAATGGTACAGCAATTTGGAAAATAGTTTAGCAGTTTTGTATAAAGTTTAACATATGCTTACTATGTGATCCAGCAATATCACTCCTAGGTATTTACCTAAGAGAAATGAAAACACGTCTATACAAATACACTCAAACATTCCTAGCAGCTTGATTGACAATAGTCCAAAAACTGGAAACTACCCAAAATGTCCATATGTCCATTAACAGGTGAATGAACAAATTTTATATAAATTGTAGAGTGGCATATTACTCAGATATAAAAAAGGAGCATATTACTGTTTTATCAACAATGGGGATAAATCTCAAAAGCATTGTGCTACGTGAAAAAAGCCAGCACAAGAGACTACATATTGTATGGTTCCATTTAAATGAAATTATAGAAAAGGCAAAACTATAGTGACAGAAAGTAGATCAGTGGTTGCCAGAGGCAGTGGTAGGTGGAAGGGACAGACTGCGTGAGGCATGAGGAACTGGGGGCAGGGCGGTGGAAATTCTCTACCTTGATGTTGGTGGCTATTGCACAGTTTGTCAAATGCATCGAGCTGCACACTTAACACTAGTGAATCTTACTGTATATAAATTATATCTCAATACAGCTAATAAAAGAACTGACTCAGAAATAGAAACATCTGAGAAGATCTAAACCTATTAAATAAATCACAATAGTTTAAAAATCAAACCAGTCCCACACAGTTCATTCACTTATTTACTCACTCATTCATTATATATTGAGTTCCTACAACATACCAGACACTAGTATAGGGGCTGTATGGATAATGCAGCAAAGCAGGCAAAATCCTTGCTCTCTTGGAGTCTATATCCTGGTTGGGGGGAAAAGACAATGCACAAATGAAACCTCAGGTCAGTAATGGGTCCTATGGGGGAAAAAGTGATCATGGGTGGGGTAGAAATGGGGGTGCTGTTTGTGGCCAGGGAATACCCTTCAATGAGATGACATTTGAACAAAGACCAGATTGAAGTCGGGGGCGAGTGTGTCCCTGGCATGGGGGGACATGAAATTGACTAAAGGGGACCAACGATGAAGGCAGGTATATCTCCTGGGAGGCCCTGCAATAAACCTGAGCAAGAGGTCAGCTGGTCACCTGGACCAGAGTGTAGCAGGGAGGTGGTGAGATGAGGTTAGATGAAGGTGGAGCCAACAGGATTTGCTGGTGGGTCAGATATGGGGTGTTAGAGAAAGAGGGTTTTATCCTGGCTAATTGGAGGAATAGCTATTTACTGGGAGAGGATCAGGTCTGGGGATGGGGGAAGAGATTATAGATAGAAATCAAGAATTTGGATTTAGACATGCTAAGTTTGGAATATCTATTAGATACCTGTTAAGTGTTTTGAGTTGGACAGAGGATCTGGAGCACAACAGAGAGGCTGGGTTTACAGAATAAATGTCAGAGTCTTCATTTGTATAGGTGGTCTTTAAAACTATGGGAATGGATGAGATTTAGGGAGATCTCATAGATAGAGAAAAAAAATAGGTTTGAGGGCAGTTTTACAGATCAGCCTCCCAGGTCTTTAAGGGCAGATAATCCTGGTCTCATATTCACTGTTCTGCTGCATGGAAGGAGGGAACACGCCATGCCTCGGTTCATGAGGCTAATATGCCTTGACATCCAAATAAGGTATGGAATTTATAGGCCAACCTCACTTATGAGTATATAAGTTTTTTAAAAAAGTCTTATTAACAAAGCAAATCTAGAAGTTTATAATACAATCAGTAATGTTTATCTCAGGAATGCAAAGTTGATTGAATATTATTCTATTAGTATAACTTACCACATTATCAGATTAAAGAAGAGAGGGCCCCTGATAATATGAATAGGAAAGCATTTGATAACCAATTTGATAATCATGATTAAAAAGAATTCAATTTTTCAAAGTAGAGTAGAATCAGACGGAGACTTCCTTAACCTGACAAAGGGTATCTACCAAACACTTCATACTTAATGGAGAAACATTAGAAGCATTCCTTTTAAAAAATATTAGGTATGGGGGGGACTTCCCTGGTGGCGCAGTGGTTACGAATCTGCCTGCCAATGCAGGGGACATGGGTTCGAGCCCTAGTCAGTGAAGATCCCACATGCCGCAGAGCAACTAAGCCCGTGTGCTGCAACTACTGAACCTGCGCTCTAGAGCCCGTGAGCCACAACTACTGAGCCTGCGTGCCACAACTACTGAAGCCCGTGTGCCTAGAGGACATGCTTCGCAGCAAGAGAAGCCACTGCAATGAGAAGCCCTTGCACTGCAACGAAGAGTAGTTCCCGCTCGCCGCAACTAGAGAGAGCCCGCAAGCAGCAACGAAGACCCAACGCAGCCAAAAATAAATAAATCAGGAATGAAACGAGGACATCTACCATTATCATTTTATCCAGTATTATACTGGAGGTCCTAGCCAGTGTACCTGGATTTAAAAGAAACAACAACAACAACAAAAAACAACACAAAGACTGCCATTACTCACAAAGAAGATCTGCGTAGAAAACTCAAAATAAATTATTTGAGTGAGACTTTCTGGATACACAATCTGGATACACAGGCAGTATGTAAATCATCAACACTGGTCTCCAGCAGTAAACAGTTGAAAAATGTGATTTGGAGAGACGTTATTTAACTTGCCCAAAGTCACACGGCTGGTAAAGAGTCGACTAGGAGGGAGTTCCCTGGCGGTCCAGTGGTTGGGACTCAGCCGGCCGCCCCGCCCCCGGCCCACCAAAAAAAAAAAATTGTGGACTAGGATGGAAATGGGGCTCCCTGCCTCCTGGGTCCAAGCTTTTAGTCCTGGGCTATATGCCTCTCTAGCACTGGCTGTACTTGTGCAGGAGCCTGTACCCCACCTTTGGGTCCGTTCCCACGCAGCGGGTGAGGCCTGAGCACGGCCTCCTAGGGCTGGAGCCAGGGTGTCCTAGGCCCGCAGGGAAAGGCTCACCATGGGGAGGACGGAGGCCCGAAGAGAGGCCAGGGTGATGGGCTTCCTCTTTCTGTCGTCCTGGCTTGCTGGGGGCAGGATCTCCACGAGGTTCATCTCCTCTTTGGCTTTCTCCCCCAGGCAAATCTGAGAGGGGTGGAAAACGAGCAGGGCTCCTCTTCACCCAGAGGGCAGAGGAGGCAAACCCTGTTCCAGCTGCGGGCACCGGACAATCCCACCTGCCGCTCTGTGGCTGTCCAAGTCCCTCCCTGCTCCGTCCTTCCTCCCCTCCTTGGGGCTGGGGGGTACCCACCGTACTAAGGAGCAGCATACAGTCCTGCTCCCCCACCTTCCGGGGTCTGAAGGTCCAAGTCGGCTTCTCCTGGCTCAGCTCACAGCCTGCGAAGGGAGACGGAGGGCGGAAGGCGTGGCGTGGGGCGGGCAGCCTCCAGGGAGGCGCGCCTCTCTGCCTCCAGCCCTAACCGCGCCCCAGCCCCCCGGGTGCTCCGAGAACAGCCTGGAGCCTCACTCACCCCAGAGCAAGGCCAGTGTCGCCTTTTCGGAGGTGCTGCTAGTGCGGCTGCGATTCATGATGCGGGGCGGGGGCCGAGCAGCTGCGAGGAAGGGCGCGTTACAACCCCCGGCCGACAAGGCAGCCCACACCCGAGCTGGGGACACCCCGGCGGAGCGCTCCGCCAAAGGACGGTGCTTAGATCGCCCAGAGCGGGAGAGGTGAGCGAGGGGCCCGGCTGCCCCGCCGGCCCTCCCAGCACTCCGGGGGTGCAGCGCCGGTCAGCCGCGGGCAAGGCGGCTCGGTGCCCGGTCTCATGTCCACTCGGCCCCGGGCCCCGGCCCTCTCGCAACCCCTCCTCCACCTCACCGTCGCTACTCCGCGTGCGAGGCTCACGCCATAGGCTCCTCCTCGGATCGCTTCCCTCTTGGGCTCCCTCCCTCCGGCCTCATCCCGGCCTCACCTGAGGGCCGGCCGCCCACAGCGGGCGGTTATGAAGCCTGGGAAGGGGCAACGGGAGGTGTCTCATCAGCCCCATTCCGTTCCTCCACTCTTTCCTCCTCTTCGCTCCTCAGAAGCACCTGGAGAGCTCGTTAAAACACAAAGCGCTAGGCCTCACCCACCTCCATCGTTTCCCACGGGGAGGTCTGGGTGTGACCCAGAGAATTAGCATTTCTAACAGGTGCCCAGGTGAGGCGGACGCTGCTGGTCCAGGACCGCACCGTGAGAACCACGGTCCTGACCAATAGGGACTGACTGAGGTCTGCTGCCGGAGCCCGCCCAGCGCCCAGCGTGGAGATGCTTTGCTACCAGGTAGGAAGCGCAGCCTTGTCGGCCCTTCGTGCTCATCGCCTTTCTTCTTTCTTCTTGTCCTTTCCTTACCCTCTAAGTGTGGGCCTCTTGCCAGGCCCAGAGGGCCTGACCCTCAGGGCTATGGTCCTCGGAGAGGAAGAGCCCTGTTTCCAGAAGGATGACTTCTCCCAAGGCTAGGAAGGGGTGGAATACACCACGGGGCACTGCGAGTGACCTTACGAGGGCGTCATTTCACAAACAGCAGTTCACACAGCACAGTGATGCCCTTAAATGTTTGTTTGGGTGGGGGGTAGTGAAGAGGAGGAAGGTTTTCAGCTGACCACCGCCCTCAAGTAACACCTCTGTTTGGGAGACAGAAATAACCAGGAATCTCTCTCATTGCATTCATATCCATCACTCCCATCCTGGAAACTTCTCACCTGCATATAAGGTTCACTGATTTTCAACAAAGGTGTCAAGGGAAAGGATAGTCTTTTCCAAAAATGGTGCTGGAGGAACTGGATTTATCTTTCTGCAACCCTGATTGGAGCTTCTGCTGTGCAGGAATCAGTTTTTTTTTTCTTTTTAAAATACCAGCTTTATTGAGCAATAATTCATACACAAAAATGTACCAGCTTAAAGTGTATAATTTGAATTTTGACAGATGTATACACCGTGTGGCCATCACCACAGCCAAGTTACAATTTCTGTTACTCCCCCAAATTTTCTCGTTTCCCTTTGCAGTGAATATCCTCCCCTTACTGTCTACTTGGCATCAGACACCTGTTTTCTGACACTGTAGATTAGTACAGACTGTCCTAGAAGTTCATGTAAGTAGAAGCATACAGGGTCTTTTGGTCTGCCCTCTTTTGCTGAGCAGAATGTTTGAGATTTATTTATCCATAGTTGTTGTATCAGTAGTTTGTTTCTGTGTATTGTTGAGTAGTGCTCCACACTTGTATATCCAGATACCTGCTAGTCATGTTTTGCATGTGGTCTGCAGCTTCAGCTCCTGCCAGAGAGCTTCCAGCCTGCTCTTCCTGACAACCTGTCCTACCGATCTCAGACTTGCCTAGCCACCTCTTATGATTGCATTAGCCAGTTCCTTGTGCTACGTCCCTGACTGATAACACCTGTTGATGGATATTTGGGTAGTTTCCAGTTGTGGACTATTATGAATAAAAATGCTATGAACATTTGAGAGCAAGTCTTTGCATGGATATATGTTTTAGTTTTTCTAGGATAAATACCTAGGAGTGGAATTGCTGGATCATTTGGTGTGCATTGAACTTTATGTGAAACTGTAAAACTATTTAAAAAAATCCTGTACCAGTTTGCATTTCTACCAGAAATGTATGAAAATTCCAGTTGCTTTACATCTTTGTCAGCAATATTGTCAGTCTTCTTAATCTTAGCCATTCTAGTGGATGTATATAGTGACATGTGGTTTTTATTTATCTTTTTTTGATGACAAATGATGTTGAGTATTTTTTCAAATGTTTATTGGTCATTTGTGTATCTTCTTTTGCAAAAATACCTGTTCAAATATTTTGTTCATTTTAAAATTGAGTTATTCTTATTGAATTGTGGTTCTTTATATATATTTGGATGCCTGTTCTGTGTCAAGTATATGTATTCCAAAGATTTTTCACTCCCATCTATGGCTTGTCTTTTCATTTAAAAAAAATGGTATCATTTGGAGAGTAGAAATTTAAAAATTTGATGAAGTCAAATATTTCTTTCTTTTATGCCTTATGCTTTTGGTATTTTAAGAAATCTTTGCTTAACCCATTAAAATTTTTCCTGTTTCCTTCTAGAAGCCTTGTAGTTTTAGTTTTTACTTTTACAACTGTGATCCATTTGAAGTTAATTTTTGTGCATAGTGTTTGGTAAGGGTCAAGGTTCCTTGTTTTCCTCCTAAGTGGTTATCTAATTCCTCTAGCACCATTTTTGGAAAAGACTCTTTCTCTATTGAACTACCTTGGCATTTTTGTCAAAAATCAATTAACCATATATGTTGGTCTATTTCTGGATTTTATTGTTACATTGGTCTGTCTACCCTAGTGCTGATACCACACTGTCTTGACTACTGTAGCATTATAATAAATCTTGAAATCAGATAGTTGAGTCCTTCAACTCTGTTCTTCTATTTCAAAACTGTTTTGGCTCTTCCAGAGTCTTTGCATTTTCTTATAAATTTTAGAATCAGCTTGCCAGTTTCTAAAAAAAAAAAAAAAAAAAAAGCCTAAAAGCCTTCTGGGATTTTATTGGGATCCTGTTGCATGCATAGTTCAATTTTGGGAGAATTGTCATCCCGATTTTGAGACATCCAATGCATGAACACGTTGTAATCTCTTCATTTATTTAGATCTTTAATTTTCTCAGCGATGTTTTACAGATTTTAGTGTTCAGATCCAGCACATCTCTTATTAAATTTATTCCTATGTATTTCATGTTTTCAGATGCTATACCGAATAGTATATACTTCAAAATTTCATGTCCTAATAATTTGTTTTTAATATATAGAAATACAGTTGGCTTTCATATACTGACCTTGTATTCTGATTTTGCTAAATTCATTTATTAGTTCCAGTAGCTTTTTTGTACCCCAAATCACAACATCTGTGAATAAAGACAGTTTTACTTCTTCCTTTTTGATCTGTGTGCCTTTTATTTGTATATTTATTTATTTTTGTGCCTATTTGCTCTAGTTAGGACCTCAGGTACAATGTTGAACAGAAGTGGTAACAGTGGGCATCCTTTCCTTGTTTCCATCTTAGGGAAAACATTCAGTCTTTTGCCTTTATGTTGTTGGTGGTAGGTTTTTCATGGATGTCTTCTTAAGAATGTTTCTTTCTAATCCTAGTTTGCTGAGAATTTTTTTTTTATTATGAATGAGTATTGAATTTTGCCATATGCTTTTTATCTATTGAGAGGACCAGCTTTTTTGCCTTTGTTTATATGGTGAATTAGTTACTGGTTTTTTGAATGTTTTAAACCAACCTGGCATTTCTAGGACCAATCCACTTGGTCACGACATATTATGCTTTTTTATATATTCCTGGATTTGATTTGTTTATATTTTGTTAAGTATTTTTGCATTCACGTTCATGAGGATATCAGCCTGAAGTTTTCTTTTTTCTTCTATAATGTCTTTGGTTTTGGTATGAGGGAGTGCTTGTTTCATAAAATGACTGGGAGTGTTCCCTCTTCTATTTTCTGATTTTTTGTTGAATTCCAGGTGCTCTGCTTGCAAAAGCAGAAGCATACTACAATTGAATCATACTACAATCCACTTTCCTGTACCCTCCCAAAGTCCTGTGGATTCCACCCCTTGACCCCAGTATTTCCCAGCTCTCTCTCCACAGCCCTTGTCTTGGTTCAAATCTTTATTACTCACTAGTTGGTGAGTTACAGATTGGTCACTAGGCTGCTTTCAAACTTAATGGCTTTTAGGATGAAATCCCAACCTCTTGTGCCCCACCCTTCATCCAGACACGTAGAGGACTGCACTCTCCCTCCAGTCATACTGTTTTTGCAGCTCCTAAAAAGGTACAGGATGTTTCATGCCTCAGGGTTTTTGAGCTGCTTGAGTGTTCTTCCCTGTCTTCTTCCGATTAGCTCGTTCCTGCGTTAACGCTCCTCTTGGTGTCTCCTCAGTTATCCCAGAGCAAACAGAGCGCGCAATGATCAACCTCTTCAGCTTGTTTGCCCACTCCCCTGAGTTCTTCCCATCCAGGGATCAAGTCCTTGAACAGTGCCTCTGCGACTATCACCGTGGATACCCCCACCGGGCACACGGCCCAACTCTGGCCTTGCCCAAGAAGAACGCCCCGGCAACCAAAGAGGACACCAGCCTTAAGGAGTCATGACTGCGCCTGCGCACAGCGGCGGAAGTGGGGTGAGCGTCGACGCGGAGAGGACGCGCCTGGGGAGAGTGCGCAGGCGCGGCGGGGACGGAAGGAACGCCCCGAAACGCCTCCGGGGCGCGGAGGCTTGTTCGGAAGTTGTGCCGGGTTGGGGGTGAGTTCTTTCTCTTTCCTTCGCAGCGCGTGCGGCTGGTGTCAGAGGCTTCTGCTCTTTTCCTTTTGGTAGAGGCCTGTGGTAACGATGTGAATGTAACCCGCTCAACGCAGGCAGCCCAGGGCTCGCTCTGCAGGGGCTTCACCCAAATGAAGGTGCGGTTACTCTCCAACTCCCACTTCCCATCTTCTGCAGACTCTCCCACGCCCCAGATACACATCCTTTCACTCATTATGATCTTTTCCGTGTGGCCCCGGCTCCTGAGGAGCACGTTTTGGTTGCTGGGACGAGGAGGGAGTGGGGTTAGCAATAACTCAGATAAACCCGTGAGACTTAGGGACAGTAGGGGGAGACTTCACAGAGGAAGTGGGACTCTACTTTGGGTTTGTAAAGGTGAGCAAAGGGCAAGAAAGTTTAGACCGAGAGGAGAGGGCCCTGCAGACGGGGTTAGAGGCACGAGGTAGGATGTGGAGGGAGATACGGCAGTGGCAGCGGCCTAGTTGGGTGGAAGCGTTCTCCTGCACCCAACTCCTCGGCTGGTAGTTTATGACTTGTTTGCTTTGTGACACGTCCCAGACTGCAAGGTGTTAAAGGGTGGGGAACTGGTTTCCTGGTAAATAGAAATGAGAATGGCCTGTTACATACTTAAACTGAAAAGTGATTTCATTGCCACTAATTTTCCAGGTGAACTAATTCAGCCTCGAGGAGGCTTTGCTCTCTCTGCAGTGTCATCAGTCTTTAAGAGCTGAGGAGGTGTGGTGTGGGCTCTGGCTTCGAAGGTACTGCTCTTACCTTTGCCCATCCTTTAACTCTGTCACACGCGGGAAGAGTGGCCCCTCCGAGCTTTACCTAAGGCCAAATCCATTGTCCAGTTAATCAGTTTTCATCCTGGGTTTGGTTGTCCTCCAGACCTTGAATCCAGATATGCATGGACTTGCTTAATTTGTTATCCAGTAGCAGGGGTTAGGAGATTCCCCACTTGTCACTCTTCATTCTTTTGTAACCCAATAATGGGATGGTTTGG